AGTTTCAACTTATTAAATTTACAAAAGAAACTATTAGGAAGAACTTTAATAATTTGTGTAGAAAGTTATATAGGTACTATGTTTACAGCTGTAGGGAATTTTTTGGAATTCCATGTAATTTCACAAATTACTTTTTGGTAGTTCATGAGTATTTCAGGTAATTTCACGTAATGTTTTTTGGAATTCGTCTGAAATTTAAAACATAATTTCACGATTTTCTTTTTTGGAATTTCATAATTATTTTTTAAGTAGTTTCTTTTGAATTTTTTGGAATTTAACGAGAATTTTGATTTATTTCACAGGAATTTCTTCAAATTTTGATAGAATCCCAAATGATTTCAGAAGAAGTTCAAGTAATTTTATTGCAGTAATGTTACCTAAGAAATTTCAGAAGAATTTTTTGGAATTTCGAGTAATTTTACAGGATTTTTTCGGAATTCAATGAAATTTCAAGTACATTATTTTATGGAAATTTTATGAAATTTCTAGTTATCCATAGGAAGGGTTTTTTTTTCAATTCCCCGGGAATTCCAAGCAACTTTAAAGAATTTTTCTGAAATTTCACATTTTTTTTCTTTTTTTTCTACAAAAATTCCGATTTACTCCGCAGGAATATTGCTGAAGTATTAAGTAATTTCACAAGAACTTTTCGGAATTTCACGAGAATTTCATATTATTTCAGAATTTCACTTGAATTTTAAGTTATTCCACGGAAATTCCATGTAAATTCACGAGAATTCTTGGGAATTCAATGAAAAATTTAAGTAATTTTACAAGAATTTTATGTAATTTACGAGAATTTTTGCGACTTTTTCTTTCAATTTTACGAGAATTTCAAATGATACCATAAAAATTCTTCAAAATTCCACTGAAATTACCAGTAACTTTAGGGATTTTTTTTTTGGAATTTTACAAGGATTCCATGTGGTTCTACAGAATTTTTTTTACGTAAATATTTTGTAATTTCATGGGAATTTTCTGGAATTTCACGAGAATAACTTTAAATTCCGGAGGCATTGAGTCAAATACTCGGAAAATTTCGTCGTAATTCTTTCGCAGTATCACATAATTTTACCGGAATCCTACGTTATTCTACTATCATTCTAAATAATTTCACAAGAATTTTTCAGAGTTGCATGAAAATTAAATGTAATTTTTACGGAAATTTTTTGGAATTTTACGAGAAAAACTTAGAATTCTGGGAGAATTACGTGGAACTTCCGGAAAAATATTGGAATTTTTTCGAAATTCCATATAATTTTACCGGAATTTCACTGAACTTCCAAAAAATTTCACAAGAATTATTTAATTATTATTTCATGTAATTTTTACAGGAATTTTCTAGAATCTAGGAAAATTATTGGAATTTCATCGAAATACCACGTAATTCCACTGAATCCCAAATAATTTCACAAGATTTTTGATATTTGAGTAAGTTGTTAGTAGCTTATTACTTATTGGTTATTTCAAATTTCAATAATTATTATTAATTGATTAATAAAAATTTGCCTGAATTTTGAAGTATGAGGTGAAATTCAACGCAACCGTAACGACGGTGTCAAGGTCTCTGAAATGTACTGGTAAAATTCTTTTTTTTAGTAAATTTAAAAAAAACAAATTGTACACCAGAATTCCATAAAAATTCTGTGGAATTCTACTAAAAATCCATGTAATTGTAAAAGAAAATTTTCTGTAAGTTTCACAGGAATTCCTCGGAAATGCACAGGAATTTTAAATATCATATTTTTTTTTTTGGAATTTCACTAGAATAATTTAAAATTTTGAAGAAATTACTTGGAACTCCAGGAAAATGAATGGATTTTCATCGAAATTTCATAATTTTACCGGAATTCCACAGAAATTCCACATATTTTTGTTTGGAGTTCTATGTCTTACCCCTGGAATTTCAATAAATTTTACTGGAATTTTATTTAATTACACACAATTTTTATGAAATTTCGCATAATTTTAGTAGAAGTTTGCATAGTTTTTATAGAATATTGCATATTTTCTATTGGACTTTTGCATAGTTTCTATAAAATTTCGCATAATTTTTATGGAATTCGAATTCCATACAACTTAAATCTACATAATTTTTATGAGATTTTGATTTTTTTGAAAGTCAACGTCGTTTTCCATTTTATTTTACTAGAATTCCGCCTAATTTTAATGGGATTTGGCATATTTTCAATGAAATTCTGCATACTTTGTATAAAATTAAGCATCATTTCTATGGTATTCAGCATGATTTCAATGGAATTCCTCATAGTTTCTACGGGATTTCGCCTAATTTTTATGGAATTTTGCATAATTTTTATGGAATTCCATATAATTTCTATGGGTTTTTATGTACCTAATTCAATTGAAACTCAACGATTTTTTTTTTAATTCTACGCCATTTTCCCAGCTTTCCATTTAATTTCACTGAACTTTCGCATAATTTTAATTTTTTATAGAATTTTGCTTAATTTCTATAGAAATCTATGTAATTTTTTTAAAATTGAACGTTTTTTTTTTTCTATGGAATTCAGGATAATTTCAATAAAAGTTTGCATATTTTTTACGGAATTTCATTTAATTCGATAATAATTTCTATAAATTTTCGCATAGTTTCTATAGAATTTTGCAAAATTCCTATAGAATTCCGTGTAATTTTTCTAAAATTAATTATTTTTTCTTTGGAATTCCACGTTATTACTCCTTTAATTTCACTTGAATTCCGCATAATTTTGATGGAATTTAGCATACCTGTTTAAAATTCTATGTAATTTCAATGGAATTAATTCCGCGTAAATTTTAGGGAATTCCGCAAAATCTCTATGGAATTCCGCATAATTTCTATGTAATTTTGCTATAATTTTATATATTTTTTTTTTTTTTAAATTTGTCGTCATTTCTCAGATATTTTATTGAAATTAAATGGAATTCCATGTCATACCTGGAAATTCCAAAAGAAATAACAATATATTTTCGCATATTTCTTTAACATTTCTCATAATTTAAATAGAATTCTGCCTAAATTGCGCATATCTTTGTTAAATTTCGAGCAAATTAAAATGAATCATATATCATTGGAAAGAGCATTAAATTCTCTATAAATCTGTGTAAAATTCAGTTTGATAGCTCAAATAGTTTTTGAGCCATTAACCCTTAAATTTGACTTTTAGTCCAAATTTTGTCAAAAACTTTAAACTCAATTTGCTCAAAAACTATAAATCTGGGAATATTGTAAATAAGAGGTCATTTAGAGCTAAATAAGAGCTACAAATGCTTAAAATTTCAATGCCATTTGCTCAACGGTTACCGATCCATTGCGGTATGAATATTTTAAAATCAGAATTCAAAGGGGGTGGTATGTATAATGTACCTGTACCCTTATGAAAAACTCGATTATTCCAGTTATGCTCAATTTTGACTCTAATAGTCGATAGAGCGGGTCAGAATTAGTGGACAACAACCCTGACATCAATTCCAAATGGTCGTTTCACACAGGAACAAGAAGAAAAAGAAAATCCTATATATCCTATAATTTTCAGAATCTTGACATGATCATGAACAATTGCCTATATATTTGTTTAATTTCTAACAAATTGAAATAAATTATACACCATTGGAGAGAGCATTAAATTCTCTATAAATCTTTGCAAAATTGAGACCGATAGGATAGCTTAGATAGTTTTTCAGCAATTGGGCCTGAAAGTTGACTTTTAGTCTAAATTTTGTCAAAAACCTCAAACTCAATTTGCACAAAAACTATAAATCTGGAAATATTGTAAATTACATGCCATTTAGAGCTTAATAAGAGCTACAAATACTGAAAATTTCAGTGTAATTTGCTCAACGGTTACCGAGCAATCGAGGTTTAAAGATTTTGAAATCAGAATTCAAAGGGGGTACCCTTATGAAAACTCGATTTTTTGAACTGAAACTTCTTAGGCGGCGGTATGATATTTAGACGAGAATGGAGAGTGATCTGAAAGACGCATCACGTTTTGGCAAATTTCGTTACTCGAGACAGGAAAAAAAAAATAACGTAGAGGGACGGAGAGAGACTGCCAATGACAATGACAGCCGACAGCTAACAAAAACCAAGGATTATAAACAATTATTGTCAAGCGCCGATATTGTTCGTCGATTTTAATCTGATACTCGGACGGAATGTGAGCTGGTGGTTACCTGACATCACACCTGTTTTTGCCATATGAAACACCCCCTCGCTCCTCATACCGCAAGTATCAGTTAAAAATCGACGAACAGTACCTTTTTGGCGTCCCTACAGATGCACGTCTCCCTTTTGTGTGGTCCTTCCTTCATCTTTACCACGGTCCTCATACAGTAAAGTTTTGTATGTGTGGTGCTGAACATTTTTCAAACACTCACACAATAAAATGACGTGTACGAGTGATTTTTCAAAAAATAAAAGTGATATCAGATATTTAGCTTGTTTCGTTTCAAATAGTATACCCTATATAATTATATGTATCAATATTTGAAAGCAGCTTTTATGGAAGCTTTCTTAGAGATAAGACTTGTTTTATTATTAGTTGATTAACTTCTTTCTTGTGCATTATTCGCAGATAATGTCTATTGCTTGAGTACATGCCTCCATCTTTCAGTTTTTCAAGATCCAGATTCCTTTTTTCAAGAGATTTTTCTATGGTTTGACTTATGTTATTATGGTCTTGATATCAAGTAGCCTCATTTTCTTGTTCCTTTAGGATGGACAAATTATCAAAGTGGCAGTTTAATTGGGCTGGACGTCAAATTTTTTATTGTTTTATAAGAACATTGTCTCAGTAACTAAGCTGTCGAAAGGTTTAAAGTACTACATACCAACATCGAAATTAAAAGTTACACTAAAATAAAGGGCAAATTAGATTAAAACAAAACTACAATGACTCCATGATTCCATTTGTTCAACAGGACAGTTGGAATGATACCTTTCATGTCCAGTTTGTCTCTTCTCAACAAAAACTGTATTTAAACAAAAATAGAATCTCCAGAATAAATAACATTTATTTACTGTAACTAAAAATCTGAAAAATGTAACACCGAAACATCGTTACTAAAATACAAAATATCCTTGTGAGCTTCTGGAATGATTATATCATCGTCTGGACCCATTGTATTTTTTGCGACGTATATTTTTGCTGGATTATCTTTATATTCGTTTAATAACTCTTGCAATTTATTTATTTGGTGCCTGTTGTATTTAGCTATCAAAATTACTAGACAAATTACGTCAGTGTTGCGTTTCAGCAGTTTTTCTAGAGGCCATAACTTCAAGGAGTGATCGTAATCACATTTTATGACGATCCTTTGGAGTCTCGAGGGTAATACTTTGTTGAGGGCTGAGAAAAGGCGATCTAAGTCAATGTGGACATTTTCAAATCTGAAAAAAATTAGTTATAGAAATAATGTATCAGTTACCTAGATTCCGCAATACCTGAACTCCTGTAACCTCTGAGCATAATTTAAATGCGAGTATAAGACATAATTAAGATCTTCATTGGTTTCTCGACTTACTATTTGCAAATATTGAAGTTCAGGGCATTTGAGAAAAACCTTAAATTAATTATTTTTTGTTAAAATCTATATGCAAAATAGATCGATGTACTCACATCTTTAAGAAAAGTTCCGTTTAAATATGGAGGTATTTCCAACGTTAACCTTTTCAAATTCCGTAAGTTACAAATTAGTTCGTAAGATCTAATAATGGCAGAGCTATAGCTAAAATATTATTTATTGTTTTAGCTTCTGGTTTAATTTTGCTCTGTTAACTCACCAGGGAACTTTGACGGTTTCTTCATCATTAATTTCTCCAATTTCAGTACTAAAAAAATCCTTTATGAATTGAAATAAATTAATAGTGTAAAACTACTTACTTTGTACAGTGAACAATTTCCAAATCATTTAAATGTTGACAATTATTAATAATATGCCTAAAAATATTTTTCTTCTCACTATCCTCAACATTTCCTTCTAAAATATTAAATTTTCTAAATATTAAACTGCTAATAAGTCGGATTTCAATGTTACCCTGCAATATACAGAAAGTAAGGCACAGTCTCTTTAGGCCTCTAGAATGTTTTGATAATAATATGTCAACGACTGAATTTATAAATGTTGGGTTACAGAGTCTTGTGTGATAAAATGATAATTCTTTGAAATCTGCGTTCTTAATTGATCTAACAGCATCGATATTCTGAAAATAAACATTAAAGCTGAGTTATATTAATGTTTTTAGTGCTTCATAATGGATCTAAGTTTTTATGAGACTATACGTTTATTTTTGTTATACACGTATTTATCATGAAGTAGATGAATCTAAATACATACTTACAATAGAATTTTGGAAATTACAAGGAGTTTCTGCCAAAAATGAATTAATAACATTCCAAGATTTTTCGGTCCTGCTTTCAAAAATTTGGGACAGTGAAGGTCGTCTCAAACTTATAAGTTGAGGTATGTCATGCTTTACTAGAAGGATTTGTAAACTTTTTTATTTCGTCTTGACTATTATTGATTATACTAACCATATCCTATTGTTGTAATATTACTCCTCCGCCTTTCAAAAATCTTCAACAAACCGAAAGGTTTGTAATCCAGCAGAGTCAAATTAACTTTGGACTTGATTACTAATTTTTTTAGATTCCTCAAATTACAAACTATGTAGTCATATCTCAAAGAATGTGGTTCCAAATCATCTGCATCATAAATCTGTAATCCAACTTTTTATAAATAACCTAACTATACAGCATAGAAGTACAAATCTCTGATATGAACGGTAAGCATGGTGCAAGATACGTTATTACTAATTACTATCTTAAATAAAATTAGGGCGAATCATTAGAACTTTGGCTGTGGTCCGAATATAACCAGGGTTGTGGTTTCGCGGTCCGAAAGTAATCAAATTACTCTGGTTCCTGGAAAAGTGGTTACTTTTGGACCTCGGTTTCCTAAAATCTGATTAACCAAATGTCAAAATAGTTACCGGCCATCGTATGTCGGTTCTGTTGATTTTATCTGTAATTTCTGTCAATTATATTTTTTATTTCATTTTTGCGTTCCCCAAGTAACCGGAATTTTCAGTAACCATCTCTCAACCGATTCGGTTACTTTGGTTAACGTTTGGTTATATTCGGACCATAACCTTTGTGTTGTAATAAGTAGCTACCAACTACCTCTACTAACTTATTATTGAATGATTTCCGACAGTCAAAGTGGACCTACAGTTATTTATCTACAAACCTTTGGTTATAACGTTTTTACATAACCATTTTTCTAGTATTTGAGTTCTGTTATGAGACAGACTCACAAAACTAAAATTTCAGACAGGTCGCATATTTGCCGTTGTTCAATAGACCTATCTATTTTACCAGACAAAGAGGTAATAATACGAAATCTTTATTAGATAGAAAAAGACGCAGAACGCTTATTGCGCAAGACGAGGCAAAACGTACCAAAAATTATGTTAGACTTACGTATAGCAATCCGTTCTTATTATTTGCACGGGATAAAAAAGGAAGGAGGAAAACCGCGTGACGTGCAACCTATCTGTCAATCAAAAACACAAACAATTGAAAATCGATCACTTGTCAAGCTGCGTCAAGTTGAATATCAAGCATAATTTTATCCTTGTCAGACCACGGGCAATGAACAAGGACAAGGAGATGCCCAGCGTGCAAAAGGATTATTTTACACCTGTACTAGTTAGCCAATAAAAATGTATTGCCTCATCTTGCGCGCGCATACAGGTAAAAATAGATAGGTCTATTCTTGTCCCAAAAGTAGATCGACCGAAAACATTCATCTACAGGGTTATTCAAAAGTAAGCGGCATCCTTTCGGGGGCGTATTCCTTGCATAAAAATAAGACGAAAAGTTCCTATTAACATGGGTCCGGAAATGCTTCCTAAGGGAGCTACGCCCCTTCGAATAGGACAACTGAAAATTCAAGAATCTTAATCAGTGGCGTCACATATTGTTCGACGATTTTTAACTGATACTCGCGGTATGAGGAGCGAGGGGGTGTTTCATATGGCAAAAACAGGTGTGACGTCTGGTAACCATTGGCGTTCTAATGTAGGGAGCCACCAGCTCACATTCCGTCCGAGTATCAGATTAAAATCGACGAACAATACTGGGGAGGGTGAGGGTTAAAACATCACTATTTTTTTTTACTCCTCAGGTTTTTGCGATTCTGATTGAAATTTCGGAAAGTTTAGAGTTTTTTACACAGGAAAGGTACTCTTTGTTCAATTCGATACAACGTACCAAATTGACTTAGAAAATTTTCTGATTTGCGTATGTTTATTGATGAAAACTACTTTGCATTGCAATTGAAAAAAAGGAACACAAAGTCTAACAATTTAGAGAAAATGTTCAAAGTTATTACCATTAGCATCACGACAAGCTGCTAATCTTTTTATTAGATTAGGATGCACACATGGTAGAGTTCTTGGGTTGTTTCTAATTGTCTGAAATGCGTCCTCTATTCTTTGTCTGAGAACATCGATATTAGGTATTAGGTGGCAATAAACTAGCTGTTTTATGTGTCCCCATAAATAAAAATCGAGGGGGTTTAGGTCAGGAGACCGTGGAGGCCATAACACTGGACCCTCACGACCAATCCAACGGTTTTCGTATGCATCATTCAAATGGTTTCTAGCGATAATGCTAAAATGTGGTGGAACGCCGTCGTGCATAAACCACATTTGTGCACGAAATAGAAGTGGCAGATTTTCTAATAGCACTGGTAAACTATCTCGTGAAAAAATGGTGTAGTTTTCTCCATTTAGCCGCTGCGGTAAAAATACGGGTCCTATCAAATGCATATCGATAATTTTCCGCCCACACATTTAAACTAAATTGCTGCTGATGTCCTTTCTGTACCGTAGAATGGAGATTCTCATCCGCCCATACGTGATTGTTATGGAAATTGAACATTCCATTTCTTGTAAAGCCGGCCTCGTCGGTAAATAAAATTTTGTTTTCAAAATGTTCAACAGCAATGCGTTGTTCTTTCAGCCAATCACAAAACTGTACACGGGAAGGAAAATTTTGCTCTTCCAATGCCTTGACCCGTTGAATATGGTGAGGGTATAACAGCATCTCGTGCAAAAGTCTCCATACAGTTGACTGAGAGGACCCTTCCTGATTTGCGATGATGCGATTATTTAAAGATGGATCTTCTTCAATATGACCTAGCACTTGTTCTTCTAATGCTGTTGGCAGAGTGCTTTCCATATTCTTTATCAATAAAAAGAAGGAAATTGCCTTTTTTGAATTTGTGTATCTAAATTTGGAAAGCAAAAATGGATTTTACTTATGACGAACAAGCTGAGATTCACATCATGTTTGGAAGGGCTTTTGGTAATTGTATGGAAGCAAGACGGTTATATGCAGACGCATTTCCTAATCGACGATTGCCAAACCGTACGGTTTTCACAAGAGTAGATCGTAATTTAAGAGAAAGAGGTAATTTGTAAAAATTGAGTAAAAATGTGTCGCATAATACCTACTCACATTTTACTCTAGGAACTTTTCAAGACAGGAAGTTGTTGGGGCGACCAAGGAATGCCAGAACCCTAGCATTAGAAGAACGAGTGCTAGGTCGTATTGAAGAAGATCTATCTTTAATTACTCGCATCATCGCAAATCATGAAACGTCCTCTCAGTCAACTGTATGGAGACTTTTGCACGAGATGCTGTTATACCCTTACCATATTCAACGGATTCAGGCATTGGAAGGGCGAGATTTTCCTCCCCGTGTACAATTTTGTGATTGGCTGGAAGAATAACGCGTTGCTGTTGAACATTTTGAAAAGAAAATTTTATTTACCGACGCGACGAGGCCGGCTTTACAAGAAATGGAATTTTCAATTTCCATAACAACCACGTATGGGCGGATGAGAATCTCCATTCTACGTTACAAAAAGGACATCAGTAGCAATTTAGTTTAAATGTGTGGGCGGGAATTATTGATGTGCATTTGATAGGACCCGTATTTTTACCGCAGCGGCTAAATGGAGAAAACTACACCATTTTTTTACGAGATAATTTACCAGTACTACAGGGTGTCCTTAGATAAACTGACACATTTTGTAGGTAAATATTTCGAAAACGGGAAAAGATAACGAGATGCGGTTTGTTCTGGGAGCATAAGGATTTTTTAAAGTTTATTTTTCACATCATTGCCGAATCCTAAAATTTGCTGAAATTTGGTTCTACAGACATGCGATTTTTTGAAATAAGATGACTGCCTTATTTTTAATGAAACACCCTGTATATTTTGTCATCGTGAGAAAGCCTGATATTTCTACTTTACAAAAATGTATAATTTTTTCCAATTATCTTCACCTTGCATCGTGAAAATTGCACTTTGTCGAAGAGAATACCATCGACTATTAGCGCATAGTTAACTAATAATACAAGTAATAAACACAAATAAGTGCATATAAAACACAAATTAATTATTATCATTTTTTTTTTGGCCAGTCCAGGGTACACTCTTCAACAAATTGCAATTTTTACGATTCAATCTCATGATAATTGGAACAAATTATACATTTTTGTAAAGTAGAAAAGTCATACTTTCTGACGATGAAAAAATATACCGAGAGTTTCATCAAGAATAAGGCAGTGTGTGTTATTACTGCAAAAAATCGAATGTCTGAAAAACCTAATTTCAGGACTCGTTAATACCATGAAAAAAAACTTTGAAAAATCCTTGTTCTTCCAGAACAAACCGCATCCCGTTAGCTTTTCTCGTTTTCGAGATATTCACCTGTAAAATGTGTCAGTTTATCTAAGGACACCCTGTATTAGAATATCTGCCACTTCTATTTCGAGCACAAATGTGGTTTATGCACGACGGCGCTCCACCACATTTTAGCATTATCGCTAGAAACCATTTGAATAATGCATACGAAAACCGTTGGATTGGTCGTGAGGGTCCAGGTTATGGCCTCCACGGTCTCCTGGCCTAAACCCCCTCGATTTTTATTTATGGGGACACATAAAACAGCTAGTTTATTGCCACCCAATACCTAATATCGATGTTCCCAGACAAAGAATAGACGACGCATTTCAGACAATTAGAAACAACCCAAGAATTCTACCAGGCCCTTATGACCACAGACGGCCCTTAATCAAAAAAGTCTTCAGATAAACATTGTAGATCAAATAATGTTGCACATCTTTTATTTGAAACATTTTTTTGTAAAATCAATAGGTACCAAGTAATCGCCAATGGCGCACTTTCAACCCCTATCGCGCAAAACGCCAGAGGGGTGAATGTTTGATATTTTCGGTTTTATGATCACCCACCCGCCCCCTATCATCCCTGAAAAGTTCATTTGGGTAGGAATTTTTTTTTTGCGATGCATGTATTTTTCGACTATTTTCCTAGACTATGTTCCTTTTTTTCAATTGCAATGCAGAGTAGTTTTTAATCAATTAACATACGCAAATCAGAAAATGTCCAAAGTCAATTTTCTCGTAAACGGTACGCTGTATCGAATTGAACCAAGAGTACCTTTTCTGTGTAAAAAACTCTAAACTTTCCGAATTTTCAATCAGAATCGCAAAAACCTGAAGAGTAAAAAAATAGGGATGTTTTAACCCTCAGTATGTGACGCCACTGATTAAGATTTTTGAATTTTCAATTTAGGATCTTAATTGCCATCAAATGTTTATAAAATACACCAATTTTCAAAA